TATATATATTCTCCCTTTTAATTTATTAATACAAGAAAATTCTTTTTATTATTAATAAGAATCTAAATTGTTCCTAATGTATTATCATAACACAATAATTCTCAAACTTTCATCTAAATGTAGATAATGCAACATTTAAATAACAAAAAAGAGTGAAAAAATAACTTTCCATTTAATTTATTATTTTAAAGAAGTCCGATAATAAAATTGACAAAATTATTTTTATATTTTAAGATATGAAACACACGTAAGAACACTTAAAAATATAATACATACTTTTTTTTATACATGGGATGGTGGTGATGATTTTAATCATTTCATTAAGATACAATAATTGTTTTGTCTTATTTTTTTGATTTTTGTTTTTTTTTTCCCCAGGTCGAACGCACGATTCTACGTACACCCTTTACAGATTGGGCGAAAGACTTTCAACAGGGGCGAGATTGTACGTTGAAACTGGAAGGGCTGACGGTTTGGATGCCGGGGGTGAATCACAAAATACCCTTCACTCTTTCACGGGGCCACCAATACCACAGGGCGAGGGTACAAGCATTGCAAGAGCCTTTCTCGATGGGAACCATACTTTAATAAGCATCATGGCAAGAATCAATCCGAGTCCCGATTGGTTCGTTGGGGTTGATTCATTTCAACTTTGCGTTGAAGGCAATTGGGTTGACACTGTCACCGTTGAGGTAACTATTACATCAAATTCTCTATTTTTTTTTTCGTTTTCTTCGCATATATATATTCGTCATTCTTATTTATTCTTTTTAATTTTTCAATAAATTTTCAACGAAAGAATTATTTCAATTGTACGACATAATTATATTATTTCATTTTTAGAAATAGTATATAAAGATCATTTTCTATAATATAATTTAGTTTTCAAATTTTAATATAAAAATATTTATGAATAAAATTATTTCACGCGTAGTATGGTGATGCTGTAAAGATGTTTGAACAATTTTGAAAATTCAACACGTTTGTATTTTATTCATTTATTATTAATTTCTAATATATATATACGTAATCGATTAAACTTATGGGGAAAAAACAAAATTCGATTTTCTAGTAGTGATTGTCCCCTCGTCTCATTAAAAAGCATCAGGGGGGTGGGGAGGGGCGTGAAGGAAATAGAAAAAATGTTCTCACTCGGTTATAAAACGGGAAAAGTAAAAAAGGAAATAGAACCATCATCTTCTATGTGTACGTGTATATGGTGTTACCCGTAAAATTGCATTTCCTTTTTCCTTTTCTTTATTTTCTTTTTTTCTTCCTTTTTCTTCATTCATTTATTTCTTTCTTTTTCTTTAGCTCGACCCTTTGGACGGTGGTACGGACAACGGGTTCACATTTACGGCTGCCAACTGGCCTACGCAACCTCAAGGAATCGCGTACAGAATCACATCCCGTTACCCGGCACATCCCGCGGGAAGTTTCTATTATCCAAACTTACCTCGACTACCACCTATAGCAACTCTTACTTTCACCAAGGTAATAACACAACACATCTTTTATGTCAAATATTCTTCGATATAATATTTTATTTATTTTTATTTGTATCATATACGATTATATTTGTGTCTTTGTCATTTTTATTATTATAATTTTGAATTTTTAAAAAATGTTTATATATATATGTGAGATCTCACAATGAAATCGTTTACAGGATTGGCAGATAAGTAATATAGAATTATTTTATAATATTCTCGACAAATAATCTTTTTTTTTCATTTAATATTTAATAATAAAACGAACATTAAACAATGATATCGAATTGATTTATCTCTCGGTAACGACACAAAATATGTAAAATATTATTATTTATTTAAATATATGTGTGTATTGTACTATTTTAATAGTAATAACAAATCTAATCAATAATCTCTCCCTCAACGTGATAAAATCAATTTATCGTGAGTAAAAGTTAGTATTATTGATTAAATAATTCGTCAAAAGTAATAATAACAAATTGACATTCTAAGATAAACGAAGGAATATAAAGTTCTAATGAATGGATGACCAATAAGAAACATCTCGAAACTTACATAAAAGAATACACATATATACAGACGAAAATACACTTGATAGTGAACGATTACGCCACAACCAACCACCCACCCCCACACTCCCACACACACATACATACATACATACATATATAGTAAAAGTAATACCCTCTTTCCCTGAAACAACGTTGGCTTTCCAAACGTTAGGGGTTGGTTAGTCGAGGGTAGTGGTAACTGAAGGGATAGAAGGGAAAGGGAGAGTTACTTCATCCACTGTCAATATTTATCTATTGGAATCTCACGAACAGTTACGTAAGACCAACCCGATTTCCAACACACAGAAACACACACACACATTTACACATACACCTTACGTTTCCCTTCGTTTCAACACCTGGGTGTCTCCCCCTTTAAGTGAACATTTTCCTCGAAACAAGTCCCTTTTCTATTCTCTCCCTTTACCTTTCCACCTTCACTTTCTCTTTCTATCAAAGTTGAGTTTGCTTGAAGGTAGTAGTAGTAGTAGTTATCCTACTTTATTCCTACTACTACTACTACCACCATCACTTTTCCGTACCTTGGGTGTCTTAGCAACATTTACGTGACACCCGTGTGGTAACAGGATTCGAAAGGTACCAACTCGTGTTAACTTGCTAATTATCTTCCTATCCTTTCGTTCATCACCTCTTCCAACCATTTCATCTAGCCCTTCATCTAAAACTCTATACCCTTTCCCTTTTCCCTATATGTATCTCATAATGTTAGATCTAATAGACATCGTCTTTCTCACTCTGATACCATAACACTTTGATTTGTGACACCTTCGTGATGAGAAGGAACAAACTTATGAAGCTTCTAATGATTCTAAACACACACACTCTCTCTTCTATCTATCTATCTATCTCTCTCTTTCTCTTTATATCTTTATCTCTTTCTCTCTTTGGGTTTATATAGTTTGCTTTAAAGTTAAACTACCTACCTACCTACCTACCTACCTACCTACCTAACCTACTCGCTTTAATCCTAACATGATTCACCATCGTTTACGATGCTAATCCGTTTTATTATACTTTCAAGTGTTTTTCCCCCTCTCCCTCCCTCCACCCTTCTTCTTCTTGTTTAATTATTAGATACGTTTAGTGTGTTTAATAAATTATAAAGGTATCGATGGAAAAAAAAAAGTAAAGATACTTGAGTATTAATTTTGATTAAATATTTTTGCTCAATTTCATTTTAATTTTTTCTTTTTTTTTTTATATTATTTGTATGTATATGATAATAATGATAATTATTCCTTTGTTTTTCTTTATATGTATTTAATTAATTAATTTTGTAATTAACGTTTAATAGGAGATAAATAAGATTAAATATGTGTTAAATAAATAATTGAATAAACTTGTAAAATTAATACTCTAATATCATTAATTTTATATTATTATATATTTCTATTTCGCGTTTTTTTATTTCCTTATATGATTTCATTGGATTCTTCGGTAACCTGCGTACCATATATATATATATAGTCGATAATATACAGAAATTCGTGATAACGGATATCACGAAACTCGAGCTTTGCTACCGATATAGTTTAATAAAATAAAATAAAATAAAATAAAAGAGAAAAAAATAAAAGGATAAGAAACTCGGTTAGACGAGTTTCTCTCTCTCTCTCTCACACACACTTTTTGTTTCTCTTTCTCTTTCTCTTTCTCTCTGTACATTCGGAGAAATTCGATATATCGGTATGACATCTCGATGAAAAAGTACTCTAATCGATCTCTGCAGGATATATCGAAATAGAAACATTTCGATTTTACTGATCCTCGATATATAAATTGACGTCTAACGTTTAGTTTCCAATTTCCAATAAAAAAAAAAAAAAAGACTACCGTAGAATTATTTTATCTCGTTAAAAAGAAAAAATCAATTTTGTGAAAAAGATTATTAGTAACGTTTTATATATAAAATAATGTTACAATTTTTAAATCTATAGTCAATCAAAATTGAACACAATTTTCTTACCAAACGTATAATGAAAATGAAACGTATACTAATCCCATTATACTAAAACAAATACAAATAAAAAATAAGAGTAAAATACTTATAATATAATATTAATAATAAATTGGTATAGAGCAATCTGCATAAAATTGATATAACCAATCAAAATTGAACACAATTTTCTTACCAAACGTATAATGAAAATGAAACGTATACTAATCCCATTATACTAAAACAAATACAAATAAATAATAAGAGTAAAATACTTATAATATAATATTAATAATAAATTGGTATAGCAATTTGTACAAGATTGATATAATCAATCAAAATTGAACACAATTTTCGTACCAAACGTATAATGAAAATGAGACGTATACTAATCCCAATATACAAATACAAATACAAATGAAAAAAATAAGTAATACTTATAATATAATAAATATAATAAACAAGAAATGCAACACACACCAATATACGTCTAAGTTCTCAATAATTCCAGAAAACATTTTATACATTTTAACAGTACACCCTTAAGATTAAAATATAAAGTAACTTAAAACAAGTAAAACTAAATAAATAAATAAATTCCCAGATCACATGATATTCGAGTTAGTCGTTTATGGTGATGGTGGGTAATGGTAGTATTGGTTGACCACAGCTAGAGTCGGTGACTATTGAGCTTACTCCTGTCGTTAATTTGTGCCCTTAGGGACTGTTTAAACGGCGGTAACGCGTGAGTTAGTATCGTCAACTACTGAAGATAAGGGGGAGAGAGTCACGCCAGTAAGCCGAATCGGTGTGGAGGAGAGGATTAGTTAGATTAGACTGAAAGCAATGCAATAGATGCTGCCAACTGCACTACTACTACACCCCCTTACAACGATATGTGTAATACACCGTATAAAGACATACACATACATATGTATACACACATACATATGCATCTAAACCTTCTATCTATCTCTGTCTAAATTTTATGATAAATCTTAACATCAATGGGGTAGGATGGGGGGGGTCTCAAACGTTCAGATAAGAAAACACATAATAGATCACCAACACTATCGAAGATAGTTGTTTCGATTCTAACCCACGTTGGACACGTCAAATGATACGCACGCAACCCTAATATCACAAACACGTGCTATGTGTCATCTTAAATTTTGCTTTCAACAATATTTATCGATGGAATTTAATTAATACTATTATATTATAGTGTATTTTTTTGTGGACACAGTGATTGTAAATATTGATGAATGATTTTCGGGGCCCTTTTTTTTTTATTTAATGCCTGTTTAAATTTTATGCATGTGTGTGCGTGGATGTAGGTGGGTGTGTGTTAATGTCACTTGAGATCTAATTATATTATAATAAAAATCGTGTGATTTAAATTATATCATTTCTTACAATGATTAAATATTCAAATAAAATATATATATAATATTAACAAAAGAGGAATACATTTAAAAAATTAATTCAACGATTAATTAATTGTCTAACCAAAATAAAAAAAAAAAAAGAAACACATTACTTTCTACAAACTTAAAATATCCAAATTATATTATATAATTCGATTGATAATTTTATTTGACAAAAATGAAATAAAAAAAAGAATGTGTTACCTTAAATTGTCAAATAATTAGGAATATTTGACAATATTCTTTAATAAAAAAGAAAAAAAAAAAGAAAAAAGAAAAAAGTAAATTTTTCTTTCGAAAGAGCAAGCAAAAGTAATACAAAATTCCGTCCCGCACTTTCGACACTTTATTTTTTCATGAAAAATCGTTAGTTACGAAATACCACCGTACATATATGTCAAGTGAATTCCAAGCACGTAAAGGTAGTGGGAACAAACAAGAAGGAAGGAAGGAAGGAAGGAAGGAATAAAGGAAGGAAGGAAGGAAAGGAAAGGAACACAGGCAGCAACCAACCCAAAACCCTTGCAGACACGTTTCGCCCTTTTTAAAGGCCGCGTGAGAAGAGGATTCGTTATTACAGTGTGCGCTCGTCTTCTCTTATCATCTTCCTTCTTCCTTCTTCCTTCTTCCTTCTCTTTTCTTTCTTTTTTTTTCGTCCTTATGTTGTATGTGAATACATAAGATCGTGCGTAGAAGAAAAAGAGAGAAAGAAAACGACCATATTAAATTTCTAAGTGGGTACTCCCGTTGAGATGCATTATAAATTTGGGTAGTATGAAAAAATAAACAACAAAATGCTTCGCTATCTTTTTTACTTTTTTTTTTTTCCTTTTTTTCCTTTTTCTTTTTATCCTACGTGACTGAAATCCCTGAATTTTTCTATTTATTTTTTTGTTTTTTTTTTCCTTTTATTATTAATATAAATTAATTATCTCGAAAAAGAAAACATATATATATTTATGATACTTTAAACTTATTACTTATTATTTACTTATTTTTATTTTTCTTATCACTTTTATGTGTGAATTGCTTTTTTTTATTATTATTATTATTTATATATCTCGTA